AATTTAACATAGCTATTGAAAATGACCATTTATAGTGAATTTTCCCATTGACAATGGTGGATCTTTCCATAGTTATGTAAACGTTTACCAGGCCGGGTAACCACAGGTGCCATGGTCAAGTTGCCATGTTTTTTTAAAACCGTTTTTGGTCCCGCGGTCAATGGTATCCCCCTGTTTTCACAACGCTCCATGTAACTTGACCGTCGGGCAAATATGCCAGAGATGGGCCCCTGCCAAGAGCAGGTAGGAAACATCCCGGTCAATAAAACTAGGTATTATTAACCATTATACTGACATATACTGACTATAGTAAAAATCAACTATTGATCAAATATTTCCCTTTTTAATAATCAGGAGCCATTGGGTTTCCTGGGGAAACCATCTATTTTTCTGCTGAAATCCTAGGTGATTTTCAAATGTGCTACCTAGGATACTTCCCTGGCAGTTAGACAGACGGTCTCTACCCCAAAATGTCCAGGTTTCTGCTTTTTCCACCCTGTCTCTTCGCCAAAGAGTGTTCGCGCAGGAAAAGCCCCACCATACCCATTTGCGACAGGATAGAACCACAATATGTCTTTAGAAATGATACTTTTTGCATCTCTTTGTTACATACCCTATTCAAGAGTATAAAGGGATTATATACCCATTAGCTGATGGTTGCGTGATGTTGCGTGTACACTCTCATTGCACCAACGGTTATATTCCATACCCACTTCCCTGTTCATGGGTGAGTCCATAATCCCCAATCAATCAGGGAGGTTAACAACATAACAGCCCACTTCTATATTCAATTAAATCAAATAAGTCCTCTGGATTATATGCAATTTTTAATGGAAAAATAATGCTCGATGGCCTGTCATCAAGTAAACAATCAAATGTTGGCTTATGACTTTATGATATAACACACTATAAAACTATAGTTTTTCACGTGGACATATAATCTCCAGTCGATTCTTTGAACAATCATGATGACTAAACAACGGCTAAGAAGGTTATCGGCGATTGATAATTCACTATTATAATAGACTATAGTTCCCCCACAATAGTGTAATAACTAACTATTAATTAACATTACAGGGATTTTAACATCCCTGCCACTTGTTGTTACCCTAGGTATTATTAACCATTATACTGACATATACTGACTATAGTAATAACCAACTATTGATCAAATATTTCCCTTTATAATAATCCACCATCCACAACCAACCAGTATTGTTGGATTCGACTATAGCTCCCCCATGATGTTATACTACTATTTTTTACTCCCCGTAATATTGATACAGTAGTCCCTTATCATAGAATTAGATGTTCCCCAGGTCATATATGGAGGTTTCCTGAAATGGAGGTACCTCCAAATCATCCATTTTTATTTGCGGATTTTCCATGAAATAAACCATCCAGCGAGCTTGGGGTATCCCCATGACTATGGAAAGCCCCATATATCATTCCATTAGATTCATTAGATCCCATGAATTCCTATTAAGTCACATTAGAAACCCCAGTATAAACACTATGTACATCTATATATAATGTATATATCATATATATATATATATATACATATATCATATGTTATATATAGATTTATACCACAGTGGACCCACTTTCCTCGTTACAAAACATCGCTAGGAAAACAAGCGGGGGACCGATGACATCATTCGAGACTGGCTGCTGGGCGCTGGTGCTCGCCTGAAGGTGGGGAAAACCCAGGTTGAGTTAGCCCTTCGGAACATGGGCATTTTTTGGAAAGGATTATGGGGCTAAGCCCCATAGTCATGGGAAACATTGAGCTTTCCCATGGTCATTATGCATTTCGGAAAAGTGAATGGATTAGGGTTAACATGGCTATGGATCAATACCTATTAATACCATTTTTAGTGGGATGAACATCCATTTACCAGCTATTTTGATGTGAACAGAAGGGGTACAAGGTTTTGACACACTGCCATATTAGAACATGATCATGATTGAATCATGATCAATGATCATTGGAAAGCCCAATCATGTTCCAATCATTGTTCTAATGCCATTTCTTGGAAACTCCAATCATTAAATGGTGAATACTGTCAATGCTTAGATTCTTCATAATTTCATGGATACCCGGATACCAAAATGAGGATTTTCCACATCTCTGTTAGTTAAGAAAAATGAGGCTATCTCATTGATTCTTTTTTGATTTCGACGGCATGTAACATGTTTATTATGCATTTATAACAGTATAGATGTATGATGAGGTATGTGTACACAGGTATATATGTAATATGTACTGTAATATCTAATGTGTAAGCTGTAGTATGTAATGTGCAATATGTAGTATGTGATATGTATGAATATGTAATATGTAATGTGTACTATGTATTAATATGTAATACAGTAATATGCAATATGTAATATGCAATATGTAATATGTAATATGTAATATGTAATATGTAATATATATATATATATATATGCGCAATATATATATATATATACGTAATATGCTATGTATCTGGCTTCATACAATGTATGATGATGATGATGATGCTGCTGTATCTAGCATCAGAACCCATGGAAACGACAATAAGTCAGCAGCTGGCAGCTGCTTCCATCCTCAAATTTCAATGCGACATGGCAGGTTAGCTACGCTCGGAACCCCAGGGTTTAGCTCCGTGAAGCTGTCAGGGTTGATTTCGGCAGCTGGTGAACACCCCCCAACTCATAATAAACATTGAGAAAAGCACATTGTTTATCTTTTTTATCGGCCGTGTATATATATATATACATATATATATATATACATATATATATACATACATATATAAATATACATATATATATATATACATACATACATATATATATATACATATATATACATATATATATACATATGTATATATATATATATGCAAATATATATATAGATGCAAAACTATATATATATATATATGTACATATATGTACATATCATACTATATATATATTACGGATATATTCGTTGATACTTAATATGGATATAGTATGGATATATATATGTATATCCTAATGGATCCAAATACAACCTGAGAAGGGCCAACTACTTCCTCGGATCCAAGGTCTTCGACCGAACGGGCCGATTTATTCCATCAGTGCCTCCCAGGCGGAGTGGTTGGAAAGCACAGTTGACTTACCCGGCCTGGTAAACATACAAAAAGTTATTGAAAATTGCCATGTATTATAGTTGATTTATCCATGAACAATTGTGATTTTCCATAGTTATGTTAGTGTACCAGAGGGTAGAACTCGGTTTACTATAGTCACTGGGTTTCTAGACAAACCATGATAGTAACTTAATTGGTTTAAGTATAGGTTAAACATACTGTGGTTGATTGATTATTGTAGGGAGTTTTACTGCCAAGGCCTTTTGGGAGTATGGACTAACCCTTAGTACGGGAAACGTTTTCAACCAAGTATTCAAATGAGATGGGATGGGATAGCCCATATGCTCCATGTATGGTATATTTACCTACATAACTGGGCCATTTATGGGGTAAATGGTGGTAAATATTCCATACGTGGAGCATATGGGTAGGGGTACTATTGGTGGCTAACATGGGATTGTCCTTTTTGGTTCCCAAAGCCAGATGAAATCACATGAATCTACGCTCATATTTGGCGAAGTGCTCATATTTGGCGAAGTGCTCATATTGGGGGATGGTCAATAATCCATGAATAGGCACACACACACATATATATATATATGTCAGTCTATCTATATATGTATATAAATGTATGTATATATATATATGTACATATAATATTATATGTATATATATATATATGCAATATCCCATTGTGAAGAATCCGATGGTATGGGATTACCGTACCACATGGCGGAAACTCATCGCCGCCAGGGATTGATCGAGCGCAACGGAGTGGCCGCCTGCCATCGCGATGTGCCACCGAGAACGTCGTGGCGACGGTCCGCGCGGAGATTGAAACGGTCCACGGTGATGGGATCCCCGGTAACTGATGGGAACGGTTGTTGCTTCGACCTTGGGTTTTCAAAATCATTGAGATGCATCAACTTACATGTCGCGAAAATGGGTGGAAGCACCAAGTGTCACATGCCAAACGTTGTTTGTTTCTGAAAAAAAATATTGCAGTTGCCGAAGTGGTAGCCCGAAAATCGCTGCGGCCACCAAAGTTTCACCAGCTGGAAGAGCTCTGGTTGGGTTTTGCAGCCGCGGACAGAATCGAAGAACTTGGACGGAAGGAAAAAAGGGTGAGTTCATCATCAAAAACAGGGTCTCACAGAGGCAAAATGTGGTTCTTAAGCATCAACGATGGTTTTTTTTTAACAATCATACACGAGAATTTGATCATGAAAAAACGAGGTCTTAACCATCTAATGTCTAAGATTGCGGATTTTATCATCAAAAAGAAGCTTTGTTTGGCCTGGCCAACAAGGATGGTGCTATGCAAAAAAAATGCACGTGCTTCGTCTTGCTTTGCTTCCAATTTTGGCAATGGCTCAAAACCTCTAGTAGCATAGGGATGAACATCCAGAACATCCAGCTAGTTTAGTTTGAAAACCAGGAGGTTCCAGGCTTTTGACATCGTCAACTGCCTTTTGCAGTTGCTATTTGCTGTTCTTTTGCATGCCCATCGGATCTGGTTTGCCTTGGGATGATCGATATTCCAACATGGCTTTGTCTGAAGATATAGGTTACCCCAAAATTTGATGGTTCATCAGCATTTTTCGTATTAAAACTAGCATTTTGTTCATTTTGGGGTACCACTATTTTCACAGACCCACATACTCCAACACATGCTTTTGCCAGTGGTTTTATTTTGCTTCGCAGCATTTGATCCCCATTGTTTCAATGTCCCTTGGTGGTACAAGGTGGTGCCCCATAGTTAGCTAAGTTGGTTTATAACTCCCATAACTATGGTTTATGGTAGATATAACTATAGTTAATGGGGTTTATAAACCAACTTATAACTGGGGGGCACCATCCTGTACCGAAAAAGAGGTACCTTCGTGCCGCAAAAGATGCCTTCAGCAGACCCAAGGCCCTCTGAATTCCCCAGAGAAACTGGAGGAACGTGTCGCCATGGTTCTGGAGGTGGTTTTTCATGCATATACCCTCTGGTAATTTAACATAGCTATTGAAATTGGTGATCTATAGTGGATTTTCCCATTAAAAATGGTGATGACTATCCATGTTTAGATGGAAGGGGGGTCATTTCTCAACGCGAGAAAATGGTCATTTTACAACGCGGTATTTAGGTCATTTTTCAACGCGCCAAGGGTCATTTCTCAACGCGCCAGGGCTGTTACTCCGTGTCTAAATTTCGTGCGTTCATTTTGCAACGTGCCATGGTTCTATCTTTCTGTTCCCCCGGTTTCTGGGGTTCTTGGTTTCTGGGTCTCTTGGTTTCTGGGTTTCTGGGTCTCTTGGTTTCTGGGTTTCTGGGTTTCTTGGTTTCTCGGTTTCTGGGTCTCTTGGTTTCTATTTTTTTTGTTTCTGGGTATCTTGGTTTATCGGTTTCTTGGTTTCTCGCTTTCTTGCTTTAGGAGTTTCTTGTTTGGGTTTTAAATGTGATCCCGTAGGTTTCCGCAGTGTTTGTGTTAGTTGCTTCGTTTCCGGAGGTTCTTGGTTGGGGTTGTTAAGATCATTGGTTTCGATGTAGCTTTGCGGAATAAACCTTAAATATCCTTAAATACTCCGGAAATGAGTTGTAAATAAATCCTACAGAAACTCTACACCAACTCAAAACCAATTCTCAAAACCAATTCTGACAACCCTAAACAATCCCGAAGCAACCCTAAACCAACGCTAAATCAGACATAGACCAACTCCAAATAACCCCAAACTAACCCTAAATAAACCCTAAACCAACCCTAAATCAGACTTGAACCAATCATGAATAAACACTATACCAATCCTAAATAAGCTTTAAAACAACCCTCAGTAAACTCTAAACCAATTCAAAATAAACCCTAAATCACCACCAAATGCACCAGAAACTGCCCCTCAATAGATTTTACAACAACCCTAAATAAACCCCAAAGCGACCTGAAATAAACCGCAAACAAACCTTCAACCAACCACAGAAAACTTTAAACAAACCCTAAATACGAGTAAGTAATGGAGGGATAGTTGTTGTTTCTTTCTTCCGTTTTTGTTTTGTTTTTTTTTCTGGATTTCTGGTTCCCGGCTTGTCTGCTTTTCCCTGCTTCTTTGCTTCTCCGCTTTTTCCTGCTGGCTTGCTTCTCTGCTTTTCTGCGTTTTCCCGCTTTTCTGCTTCTTTGCTTCTCTCCTTCTCCGCTTTTCTGCTTTTCCCTGCTTTTATGCTTTTCCAGCTTCTTTGCTTCTCTGTTTTTTTCTGCTTACCTGCTTCTCTGCTTTTCCCTGCTTTTCTTTTGTTTCTCATACCGGAAATAAACCCTAAGAAACATCATATAATACATGGACATAACCTCTACATGAACCCTAAACAAAGCCCAAAACAAAGAAAACCACTAAAGTCACTAAAGCAACTCTAAGTAAACCCTAAGCATTACCTAAATAAATCTGAAACTAATCTTAAATAAACCCTGAACCAAGCCTAAATAGATCCTAAACCAACCCCAAATCCATGTTAAACCAAGCCTAAATAACCCCCTCACCAACCCTAAATAGATGTAAACCAGGCCTAAAAAAATCCTAAACCACCGCGAAACTTTTAACCAACTCTGAGTAGGTCTTACACTAACTCTACACAGAATCTAAACCAAACCGAAATAAAGCCTAAAACCAACCCTAAATAGATTCTAAACCAACCCCAAATATATAGATGTTAAACCAAGCCTAAATAAACTTTACACCAACCCTAAATAAATCTTAAACCAGGCCTGAATAGCTCCCAAACTAACCCTGAACAAACCTTAACCAACCCTAAATAGGTCCTAAACCAACTCCAGATAGATCCGGAACCAATCCTACATAAACTTCAAACCAATCCTGAATAAACTCTTAACCAACCGTAATTGAAACTGTAAACCAACCCGAAACAGTTTCAAAAAACCTTACATGAACTTTAAGCATTATTCCATATATCCATTCAAAAAACAAATAGCATATAAATGTAAAAATTCGTGTGTGCGCCGAGATGTGTGTAAGAGTCCCATAAGAGCCAGTATCCCTTCTTTTTTCGGCTACATTGTGCAGAATCTTGGCGGCGGTGAGAATTCCGCGCTTGAATTTATGGAGTTGTGTTGAAAAATGACCGAATCTTGGTGTTGGAAAATGACCGAATCTTGGTGTTGGAAAATGACCGTTTCTTGGTGTTGGAAAATGACCGGCATCCCCAAGATATGGCTATGAATCAATACCTTAATACCATTTGTTAGTGGGATGAACATCCATGTTAACCCAGCTATTTTGATGTTCACCAGGGGTACAAGGTTTTGACACACTGCCATATTGTGGTTGCAACAAGATCACGGATTTTTTTGATGTTTCAAGTCATCATGATTTAATCCTTTCGCTTTCCGAAAGATTGCTTGGAGAGGATAGTGCCAGGATGAGTGTCCGAGGAATTGTAAGTACGTGGTTCACAATCTCGGGTTCAACAAGTCCCCTCACTCAGGTTTACAACATCTAAACCATGTTGCAAGTCGGATACTGGTACCTTTATACAATTGTCATTGTTATCATCAATTATCATCAGCCACTTCCACCATGGTACCTTTATAATCCTTTATACCCGTTGCAATGCTACTTTAGACAATGTAGCTACCCTTTGGTAATTTAACAGTTCGCTATTGTATAGATGGCCCATAGAAAATGTTGATTTACCATGATTTACCTATTATTCTGGTGATTTTCCATAGTTTTTTGTATGTTTACCAGAGGCCATTTGCTTCAACAGCGTTCCTCATTTTCTTACGGCCGACTATCAGTCACTGGAGATTGCAGGCCGATGCGAAGGCCGAGACAGGTGGGATCATGGTGAAACATGACCATTAGATATGGCTATGGATCAATACCTATAAAAATACCATGTTTAGTGGGATGAACATCCATTTATTTACCAGCTATTTTGATGTGAACAGAAGGGGTACAAGGTTTTGACACACTGCCATATGGGGTTTTAGAGGGTTTAGTGAAAGTTTCGTGCAGGTGGGGTTAAAAAAGGGGGCTTCAGCGGATTTTTTTTTTGGCTCAATGGGGGTGAATGATAGTTAATTGGGGGAGAATGAACCTAGTGGATGGTAATTGAATATAGTTAATGGATGTGAATGGGGCTTCTTATGGGAAGGTCATGGGATACATAAATAGATAAACCTGTGACAAAATAATTTGATATATTGAATGGGATATAATTAATGGATACTTCAGGAATTGGGATTCTATGCAGTTCATCATGGTGTGTGTGTGCAACTTTCTCAATCCGTTTGATCTTATATATATATACATATTATGTATGTGAATAGCGTTCAACTATTGGCTACACGACTGCACATCCTGAATCCATGCTTTTCCTTATTGACTGATTTGGATTGGCATCAAACAGTCTAGTGAAGTGATGGGAAGGTTCCTTCAAGATGGGGACACCCAAATCCGCCAAAGTGAGACGTGTTTCGTATTTTTTTCGTGCGGAATCCAATGGTTTTGAGAGTTTTCAGGTCTGCCATCTTCCCCTTCCGTCAAGAACCCCACGCACGAGAAGGCGGACAGAGGGGATGTGTGGGGACGTTTCTCCATGGTTCTCCCTGGGGCTGCTAGATCTCCAGAGTTGCGAACTTGTGGACCCTCTTCCTTACCCTCCGGCAATCAATGTGGCAATGGACAATTCCCCATGCATAGAACATTTTCTGACTAAAGCCTTTATTTCTAGTGGATGTCCAATTGCCATGTTTGATTACCAGAGGGTACATTCATTAAAAATTCATGAATATCCCATTAATTTTTAATTGTCCCATCATTATACATTGGTTAGTCAATTTCCCACTATTATATTACACTAATCCCCAACTTTGTGACTTTGCCTGCTGCAGTGGTTACTGTCCCCTGCAGGAGTCTCCGGTGGTGATTCTTCAGCCACGTAGCAGGCAGGTCGTAGCGATCTGGCAATTTTGTGGCTGGGAAATCCACTGTAAACAACGGGAAAATCATAGGAAGATATGGGAAAACCACTATAAATGGAGGTTTGAGTGGGAAAATCATGTGACTACCCTCTGGTAATTTAACATAGCTATGGAGAGTCACCATTATTAAGGGGAAATTCCACTATAAATGGCCATTTTCAATAGCTATGTTAGTTTACCAGAGGGTAAATGAGAACTTGTCCAGCAAGCCACTTTTGATGACACCAGAGGGTATCTTGGATGTACAAGTGAGAATCAACAACGTTTGATGAGCAATGTGAGCGTAGAGTCCTAGAATCGCTGACGCTGCAAGTATTGATGTGGAATGACAATGTCTCCACGTCCACGGGGATAAAGGGTCATCATGCATAACCCCTTTTTTATCCTTTTTTCATATCCTCAGTGTTTGGCTTTTAGCTTCCCCCCTTTTTCTTCCTTCGGTTTTCCCCCCTTTGCAAAAAACATCGAAGAGATCAAAACAGAGATCCAAAAAAAGCTTTTCCAACAAGCGTCGGAGGCGCTAAAAACGAAGAAGTGTGGAACGCACCCCAAATTTGGTGAGTTGGATGGTTTGGCACATTCTCACCAGATAGAGGGTTAGGAAGTGCTGTGGGTTTGGCCAAGCACTATCCAGATTTGATTTGAGCTTAGGAGTTTTTCCCCTTTTTTGCATGTTTATTTAACAAACTGCTGCGAAGCGGATTTTGAAAAAAGGATGGCATCGATGCGCCCTCTCTCTCTCTCTATGTATATATATATGATATATGTGTATGTATATATGTGTATGTATATATGTGTATGTATATATATGTGTATGTATATATATATATATGTGTATGTATATATGTGTATGTATATATGTGTATGTATATTTGTGTGTATATATATATGTGTGTATATGTGTATATATATATATGTGTATATGTGTGTATAAATATATATGTATATGTATGTGTATAAATATATATATATGTATGTATATATGTGTATGTATGTGTATACACATATATATATATGTATGTATATATATATATGCTGAAATCGAAAAGGAAAATGAGCAGAACTTGTTTTTTCCCGGGACTAGAGTTTTAGCTACAGCGCAAGGAATGTTCACATGAATCTCCATCTTTTTGGGGGTATATCCGTCCATCTCTATTGGCCATCTCCAACAAATTAGAAAACAGGAGAACATGCTAAACGCCACATCTCAAAAGAATGCTAAACCACCAAGTTTTTAGCGGATTTCTATGGATTTCCCATGGATTTCTGCATTTTTTGGCCACAAACCCCACATTTTTGGCCCTGCCAGGCCACTGATGTTCGGCTCCCTGGGAGCCAAGCCGAAGGAGTGCCGCATTGCTGGAACTGGTGATTTTCAGCAACAACAACTAGTTTAGAATGGTTGATTTATATGATTTGATACCATTGAACTATATTTTGATATGTTTTGATACCATTAAAATATATTGAATGGTTGATTGATATGTTTTGATACCATTAAATTTATCAAGATATATTGGCAATTTGATATATTGACATATGGGATAGCAATGATTGACGATTGATGAGTACACGTAATACATGTTACTTCATGTGGACAGGTCCACAATGGAGTATATAATTACTCTAGGCATCAACAGGTCAATACCATCAAATTTGGATAATGAGGTAACCCAAGTGGTAAACTTGGGTAAATGGATGTAAATGGGGTATGGTAAAAAAAAGGTTTATCTCATCAACTGGATTGCCAGGGTTTGTGATGGAGATACCTGTACTTACATGGGTCTATAAACCACTTGATGCTGAGGATGGGAAAACATATTGTTTCCACAACCAAAAAAAGTACGACAGATGGTTCAGTTAGTTTCCAACAAGAACGAAAAACTGTGCTCTAGCCTCCTGAAAACATTTACCATCTGGTTATTTGTTACATAGCCATGGAAAATCACCATGCTATTAATAGGTAAACCATCAATAAATGGGCCATCTATACCATGGCTATGTTAGCCATAACCAGAGGGTAGGACCGTTAGATGGCAGGCTCTGGAAATGGCAGTTTCCCACAGCATTGGGCCAAAGCCTTGATGTGATTGAAAAGTGAATGTTGATGGACGCGGGATGAAAAACCTGTTGGTTGATTAATCTGGGTAAATTATAACGACCTCACTGCGACCTCACTGGAATCATGGTTAGTAAGGGAAATCATCCCCAAATGGCCTTAATTCAGTTAGTGAAATATTATAATTTACCCAGATTAATAGAGGGGTTTGAAGAAACCCCTTTAACAACAGGTTTCTATGATGATAGATGAACATTATTGTTCAATATTGCCATTGAATCTGCCAAAGCAAGCCAGGTACATGATCCGATTCTTGGAATCTGCCATTGATTTCGTTGGGGCTGCTGCCACAGCCACAGGCAGGGCCGCGGATGATCTGCGGTGCAACCGGCTGGTAAACCTCTGGCTAAACCTCTAGGATCCTCCAGAATCCTATGGCGAGTTGTTTGGTTTATGCCTGTACAACTCGCCTGGTGATTTCAAGCATCTAAAACTGGTTGGTGGTTTGGAACATTTTTTATTTTCCATTTCATATATGGGATGTCATCCTTCCCATTGACGAGCATATTTTTCAAGATGGGTAGGTCAACCACCAACCAGAAAAATGTCTTCCTGTTCAACGCTTTTCCCCATGATCCGGTCGCCGGTGAATCGTGAGACATCCAGAGACACGATTTCTTGATGTTTTATGGTGACTTGTCATGGGAATTCATGGGATCTTTCATGGGATTTACTGGGATATACCCTCTGGTAAACAAACATAGCTATAGAAAATCACCATTAAAATAATAGGTGAACCATCTATTTCTATGGGCCATTTTCCAGTTCGCTTTTTGTATGTTGACCAGAGGGTATACCCCCACTTGGAAGACTTCATCACCATAAATTCACCATTACCATCCAGGGATCATCCAAGTCAGCCCTTTTTTTGTTCAAGAACCACCCAGGATTGGATGGAAAAAAGGAGAGCAATTTATGGCATGACACATCATGACACCCATGGGAAAATCATAGGGAACATATCGAATTTTATATGGCTTTTCATAGGGATCAGAATGGGATATACATGGGAGAACAATAGGATTATTTTATGGATATTAATGGACATACCGTTTGGTACCTAAACAGGTCTAGCTGGGAAATCCACGATAAAGGGATCTTGATGGCTGGGAACATAATCTATAAATATGGGACTCAATACGAGTCAATGAGATTGAATAGGATTCAATGGTTTTTAATGAGTTTTAATGGGAGATATGACCAACAAATGCTACTTTCCATGACACTCATTTTTCCCAAAACAAACCCAGTAGGTTCACAGTTGAATTGCCAAGTCCCCATCTTATTCCATATTTATGGATTAAATCCGCATATTTATATTACCTACCAGTGAATCAATCTTAAGAAACCAAGCGGCGCGGAAGTTCAATCGACGGTCACTATCTCCGCAGGCATGAGTGCCGACGTTCAGTCCGCAGAGGCATGGGTTTTGCCGAGACTAGTTGGAGGATTATTTCACTTAGTAGCTGGTTAGTAGCCATAGTCATAACATGATTTAATCCATTCCACAGATCGGAACTGGTTGGTAACCATATGGCATCATACAACCATAGTTATAAGATGTTATAAGTTATAATCCATTTATACATGGGATAACCCCGGAACTTACGACGTACTAGGCTTATACGAACCGGCTTTATGAAAACTCGCCGAACCGGTCACGACGGTCCAACGGTCACGTGATCCGGCATGGTTGGCGCCATGGCCGAGTTACAGTAGATGATTTACCTACAGTTCAATCCCGAAATACCAGTTATAAATGGTTATAAATGTGATAAATGGCTATTTCCATGGGCTTATAGGCTCCAAACATGGGGTTATAACTGACTGATAACTGGTAAATAAAGGGCCAACAACTTTTTTGAAACGGCGATGTTCCAGTTCGCAAAAACTGTCGTACTCGTACCCGCTGGGGTAGCAAATCATGTTCGATCAAGTGGGATGTCCGGGATATATCAACGGTATCAAGTGGGAGATATGATATACCCTCTGGTAAACTAACATAGATATGGAAAATCACCATTTTCAATGGGTAAATCCACTATAAATGGTTCATTTTCAATAGCTATGTTAAATTACCAGAGGGTATTCCCTCTGGTAATCAAACGTGGCTGGGAAATCCACGAACACTATGGAGGTTTGATGACACGGTGCAGGCAGAGAACGCTGCAACCGAGGAAGCTGCGCCGCCGGCGTCCACGGAAGTGGCGTTGCCGGCGCTGGAAACAGCTGCCGGGTCCCAAAAGAGAGAAATGGCTCGGGGTCAAAATACTGCGGATGGTTGTGAAATCCTGCACCAGTTGGTAGATGGTATATTCGGTTAATTATGATATCTCATGATATCTCATTATATTATATATGTTACCAATACTTACCAACTGGTGCAGGATTTTGCAACCATCCACAGTATGAGATGGATGATGATAAGCTGCTGCTGGGGCCCAACACAGAATTGCTCCTTTCTACAATGCCGCAGGCAACCGGAGACAAATGGATGCATTATCAAAAATCATCACGTCTTCCCCTAATCCTGTATTAAGCACCCCCATTCTATGGTCCCAAATGTGTGGCTTCATCCCCTGCTAAACCATGGTTTATGGGGGCGGTGTTTAATATAGACGCGGAATTAACTCTTTATATATACGGTAACGACATTTAAATATGTGGAGGGCGGGCCAGACCGCGAGGCCCAGGAGGTAGTATGAAATACCAGTTCGTATATTTAAATGTAGTTGCCCTAATTTGCCCTATATGTTTAAATGATTCGATGATTCGATGATATGATGATGATGACGATGATATATTTTTACATTGTTGGTGATATGCCCACGATTTCCGAGGTAGGCACCATCTCCCAATGGCTTGATGTCAAGGACTGGAGTTCGGACGGGAAGTTGCTATGGATCGACGGGGAAATATATGGAAAACTGTGAGTTCCATGAAATATATGGGAAATATAAGTCAATAGTTCAATGGGGTTCATAGTTCGGACTGGAATTTGCTTTTACCTCTGGTAAACTAACAGGTTGCTATAGAAGCCATGGCCCATTTAGTTCGTTGATTAACCTCTGAGCCTATAGTGATTTTCCAGTTCACTATGTTAGTTTACCAGAGGGTATATGGATGATTGAGAAACTATACCCAATCCATGGGGGATCAATAATAATCAATAATGATCAATAATGTATTATGGCTATGTAGAAGGATGTATCACTTGTTCTGAGAACATACCCATTGACCTCGCATTTTTAAGCGATTACATACTGTACAATGTTGGCGCTTTGGAGGAGAATGATCTTTTGTTGGATAATCATTGGATGTTTAAAGTCTCATATACATATACATATATATATACATATATATATATACATATATATATATATATAGAATATTGCTGTAACAGCTGTATATGTTTTATATCTATATCTTGCATATCAAGTTGTTTCCTTTTTGAAACACACCGCTGCCGTCGCCACAGTGGTTGCAACGACGTTTTCCAGGAGGCGATCGAAGAATCGCCGCCCAGTCCAAGAGAGGTGGGGTCCCAGGAGAAAGCCCAGCCATGGTGACTGGGGAACTATAAATACCCTCTGGTAAACAAACATACAATGTGAGGCCCCCCAGTTATAAGTTGGTTTATAAGCCCCAGTAACTATATTTAAAAATACCATAAACCATAGTTATTGGAGTTATAAACCAACTTAGCTATCTTGGGGGCCTCACATTGTAGCTATTGAAAATGGCAATAGAAATAGTGGCTTTACCTATTAGAAATGGTGATTTTCAATAGCTATGTTTGTTTACCAGAGGGTAGACTTCGTAAAATACTGTTTAGATATGTTTAGTTACTGTATCTAGTTCCATCTAGTTCCTATGGAAAATAGAGAGGAAAAAAAACAAACATCCGACTTATAGTTAGTAAATCATCCTTGTATGGTTACTACTACCTAGTTATAGATTTATACTTCTTGAGTACAATATGAGTGTCATCAACAATAATATCCTATTCCATTTTCTACATATAGTTTTTACTATTTGATGGGATACGTATACCTATATATTTTATAAAATCACGATGGTCCATGATGGTCCAGTTATCCAAATTTATACATATATATATATATATATATTTATTTTGCTATTCATATATGCAACATATGGTCTCTCTATCGGCTTTGTCAATAAATACTTGCATGTCCTCCAACACAAATAAATACCAGACAGCCATACAATATATAGTTGCAACACCTACAATGCACTTCTATAACAGCCATAAAACACACCAATAATATATTGCAATACGCAATAATATATATATATATACACATATGGAGGTTTCCACAACTGGGGGTACCCCAATAGCTGGATGGTTTATAATGGAAATTCCTATCAAAATTTTATGATTTGGGGGTATCCCTATTATAGGAAACTCCCATATAGTTATATAGATTGATAAATCCCCATCGCGACATGCACATTTTAAACGTGGCACTGGAGGCTATTAACATCCAATCAATAAATATCCCATGATATTACTGGATAATGGATGTTATTATGTATATATATATATGTTTGATTATTATTTTTGTGATTATTATTATTAAAGGGATTATCCATATATTTCCATGCATTTTGATATATTGATATATAAGGATATTGATGTTATCCATTTATTTCATTGTATTTATACGTAAAATAGAAAAATATATTGATATGTCGTCCATATATTTCGGCATATTAACCATATTAATGATTATCCATATTTTATCCGTATTACATATTTGATATCATATATTTCATTGTATCTATATGTATTTATGTTATTGATATATTATCAATATATTTCCACATATATATATATATTTAAATTGATATATAAGGATATTGATGTTATCCATATTTTTCGGCATATTTACAATATGTTCATGGTTACCCATATATTATCCATATTAAATTTATGATATCATATGTATATATACCATGGTCTCTATATGTATTTATTTTATCCATATATAATCCATATATTTCCATATATTTTATCATATTGATATATAAGGATATTGATGTTATCCATATATTTCATTGTATTTATACGTATAATATATACATATATATATATATGTTATCCATATATTTCAGCATATTAACCATATATTCATGATTATCCATATATTATCCATATTAAATGTATGATATCATATATTTCATTGTATATTATATGTATTTGTTTAATCCATACATTATCCAAAAAATGATATATTTTATTTTATTGATATATAAGGATATTGATGTTATCCATATATTTCATTGTATTTATACTTACAATAGAAAAATATATTGATACGTTGTCCATATATTTCGGCATATTAACCATATTAATGATTATCCATATATTATCCGTATTACATATTTGATATCATATAATTCATTGTATCTATATGTATTTATGTTATTGATATATTATCCATATATTTTCATATTTTCTTTATATTGATATATAAGGATATTGATGTTATCCATATATTTCATTGTATTTATACGTATAATAGAAAAATATATTGATATGTTGTCCATATATTTCGGCATATTAACCATATATTCATGATTATCCATATATGATCAGTATTACATTTATGATATCATATTTTTAATATGGATAATATATTATGTACTTATTTTATTGATATATTATCCATATGGGATGTTAATGGATAACCCCCCCAACAAAAAGGCAGAGCTCCGGGGCGTCGTTTGCGACGTTTCAGGTTGACTGGACCTCTGCTCAGCTCCTCTGGCAGCGCTGCCGCCGCAAGAGCGACCGGCGCTGGACGCTGGCCTGACACGCTGTGAGCGCGGTGAAACAACGGGGGCGACCCTTGGTGTGGGCGAATGTAAATGGGAGATGGGAGATCTATAGATTATACTGTAGATGATTATAGTTTTTTGTTTTCTTTTTAAACATATTTTGAGGAGAAGATGGAGAAACATATAGAAACATGGTGTTTCAAGCAGCCATTTTTGGGATTTCACACATGTAAATTGCATTTTTTTGGGGGGCGAGAAGATGATGGTAACATACCTCGGAACCACAGGGGTAAACCAACGTTTTCTTGTGGATAAATACCTTGGATCTCTGGGAATTCTTATCAACAAACATGTTCAGGTAACCAACAAGGTTAGGTAATGATAGACAATCAGACGGTTGAAGGGTACTTTAATCATTTGTCTCTATGCCATGAATGGTGGTACATTTACGCACCCAGCCAGTCTTTTGCCTGAAAGACATTTCACCAAGAAAGCACGGCAGAACATGGGACAAAATAGTTATGATTCCAACAGAGTTCACGGTTTCCTCAGAGAGTTTAATCATGGCAGGAATCTGGGACTTGCGATTTGTCTTGTTCCTGATGAATGCTTCGAAGCTTGCAGGATCGCTCAAAGTCACTGGTGGGTGAGGTTTTCACCAAATTCTTGATGGATCTTCACTTCAAAGAGCTAGCAGTACTTCCGCCACAGATGTTTTGTTCCACCACCACGACGTGCGATGATCCCATCTAAAAGGATGAGTGTTAGCTTGGAACGATGTTGCTGTTGCTCAGATAACAATGGTCCAAGCAGGATCTAGCTGTGGAACATCCATCTTTTTCAAAGAAAGTTTCCCAGGATGGTGTTTTTTTTTCAGCCACTTCTGTGTCAGTTCCAATGGACGGTTTGGAGAATGATGAGAATGGGACGTATGTTATAGTCGGGGTCAAGCCTTGTGATCCCCACAGATGATGTGATCATGGAATGATCATGGTCACCTTGGTCCATCGAAGTCCGCATGTGAGTTTTTTTTTTTCGGTGGACACCCCAAATCATCTACCCTCTGGTTATTTAACATAGCCATGGTATAGATGGCCCATAGAAACAGATGGTTTTCCCAGCTAGAAACCTCCAGTTAGTTCAGGGATTTCCCATGGCGAACTGTTAGTCATAACATGTCATAAGCAGATGGTAGAGAAAGCCATGGGCCATTTGGGTCCCCCATTTCGGGAGGCCTAGCCCTGGAGGTTTCGTTCGCTGGGAAAATGATCGATCAATGGATGTATTTTCCAGCTAGCCATGCTTGATTATCGGTGAATATATATAATATATAATATAATATATTATCAACATATGTTTTTTTTATTATTAATATATATATATATACACATGTATATTAGATAGATATAGAATGTAAAATTGCAAATGTATAATATGTATATATATATATACACATTATTGTTATTGCTATTATTATAACTATAATTATATATATATATATTCTACATAGACATAAGGAAACAATGCATACTAACCAGCCAAACACATCTTTTTTGAAGGGTAAGATTTTTCGCATGTTTCTGTTTGGCTCAAAGATCTGGATGAACTTCGATTGCCTTGGCCAAACATGGTGAGTTTGTCGAAACAATGATCATAAACTCTGAGATTTGGGCGCAATTACCTTATTTTCAGACAAGCCCATATCTTTTGACAAACACAAATCTTTAAGTCATGTGTGGGCAATGTCAAAACTAGATAGGAGAGATCGAAAACGAATGTCGGACAGGTTTTTGCAAAGCTTACGGTTAATCTCCAGTTCCTGCGAACAAACATGCGAGAAGGCAAAGAAAGAACACGGGTCATACCCTCTGGTAAACGTTCACATAACTATGGAAAATCACAATCTTTAATAGGAAAATCAACTATAAATGGCAATTTTCAGTGGCTATGTTCGTTTACCAGAGGGTAACCAATCAAGAGGCATCTGTCTGTCGAGGCCCCTTTTCTTCTTTACAGCACCAGCTTACCCAGCTTTGACACGGCACAAAAACGCTTACGACATCGCTTTTTGAGCGCATGCCGATTTGTGCTGTGGCAACTGGCGTTTTTTTCGGTGCGATGGGAAGACTGGGGAGACTGGAAAAACATGGAAAAACTGAGGATATTCCTGAAAGATATAGGTTTGTACGAGAGTTCTTCAGCATTAAGCAGTTACCAAGTGGAAAGTCCGTATTTGGTTGATCTCCGTTGCTCGAAGTCGACGGTTACCAGGGTTTCTAGGGGAAACGATAAATGTCAAACATGAATTCATGGGTTCAAAGATGTTCAAAGACCCCATAGACGATAGTTTATGTAAAGATATCATACTAATATATACTAATATTGTTGAGAAACAGTAGTTAAGTAGTCATGAATCTCAGAGATTAATAGTGGCATCACATCAACAGGTATCACCATGTATCACCCGATAAATTTAAGTGCTTGTGATGATTATGATGACTATGATGTGTTCTTTAATCAGTGGATTTCGGATATCATATTTCATATTTACTGAATTTACTAGTTGATTCGTTGATGCTGTCTCTCTTCATGTAAGATCTGGGGGACCACCGATTTTACTGGGAAATAGTATGAAAAGCCATCGAACTGTTGGAGTGCCCTTCGGCAACCAAACATGGCTGGGAAATCCCCTATACATTGAGAATGATGCTATATCATATCCCATATTGGATTTCTCTTATGGATATTGCAGCATTCATGGAACTGTCACCTTCAGCATTCCATGTTCTTTTGGAGCATGTTACCCTTTGGTAAACTAACATAACGATGGAAAATCACAATTTTCAATGGGAAAACTCACTATTTCAATGGGCATTTTCCATAGCTATTTTGACATAACCAGAGGGTACTCATGACTCACACTGTTGGACCCAGAGAGACTGCTTGGCTGCTCCCTGCATTGCAGGTGGGTAGCGATGATTCTCACTGCCGCCTTTCAATTTGGCATGGGTTGGGAGCCTGGAAATCAGATTTTTTCAGCCATCACGATGTACTCCCCATGCACATGAAACCTACGTTTCGTGGTGCCCCCGAAACGTGATGTTGTTGGTTTATGTTGATTTATAAGCCCATTAACTATACATTTATATCACCATAATATATCTGCCGTAAGTCCTAGGAATATTGGAGTTATTAATCAAGTTAACTATCTTGGGGGCACCACCTTTTTTTTAGGGAAAGATGGGGCTAAGATGGACAGACACTGAATCTGAAGTCAAGAGGATGATGAGGGATGGGATTCTGTCAGCATGAAGCAAATGGCCGGCCTGGTAAACGTACAAAAAACTATGGAATATCACCATCTTTAATAGGTAAACCAACTATTTCTATGGGCCATTTTCAATAGCTATTTAAGAAATTACCAGAGAGTAGTAGCGGAAGCTTCAGAATTGCTCCCTGCTCAGTGATGAAAAACATGATTTGACTATCCAAGATGCGCACAGGATTGTGGTAAAAAAAACATGACCCCACTTTCAAAGTTGCTTTTGTAAAGTGGTTCTCAAAAAGATCAAAAGTGCATCACCAACAAATTGCAGGGCATCATCACTTTTCTATCCCTTCCCAACTAACAGGCTTGTTCCAACATTTTCCAGCCCATTGTTGGTAATTACATGATGCCACAAACGGGGGATTGGCATGTGATTCAATTTGGATCAATTTGGCATGTTTTCTGATTTCACCAGCCGACTTATTAATGGACTGAGATTTATCGCCACTTATAATCCATTAATAACTCACTAGTTTTCTTAATCTTCCCCCCATCTCCAGTCCGAAGGTTTCCTTGCTATCATGCTTCGGTATGGCGAGTGGCGTGCTCAGGATTATTGCCCGGGGCAATACCTTGGAAGGGTTGCATATTTTGAGATGTGCCGTTTACAATCCCGTGGAAGGGTCGCAAATTTGAAAAATGAAGCTTGCGAAAATGGGGGTTCAGGATTTGAATTTCGGCTTTGTTCAACATGTTGCACATGCTCTCCTATGGTCATCGGGGGGTGGGAGGGGTGTGAGAACTGTGAGAACGTTCTTGACGAGTATTATAATTGAAGCAGGTAGTATATATTATATATAATATAATATAATATAACATAATATAATATAATATAATATAGTATAATATAATATAATATTATATTATGTTATAATATAATATGATATAATACCAGTAGTACCGCACAAGGCGGTGTCGGAAGTTTCAAAAATAGGAAACCTATAGGAAAGGTTGGTTGTTGTGAATCACGGATGGCAGAGCGAAGCCACTGATGGATCGAAAGGTGATTGCTGTCTCCTCTCTTTCTCTCTCTTTCTCTGACTATCTACCTACCTACCTATCTATCTACCTATGTATCTATCGATCTATCTATCTACCTATCTTTCTATCTATCTATCTATCTATCTATCTATCTATCGATCTATCTATCTATCTATCTATCTATCTATCCATCTATCTACCTATGTATCCGTCTATCCATCTTTCTATCTACCTATCTATCTATCTATCCATCTATCTATCTATCTGTCTACCTGTCTATCTGTGGTGCAGTGTCATTCAGTGTAAGGTAGTGCTGTGTAATGTAGTGAAGTGTAGTGGAATGTAGTGTAGTGTAGTGTAGTGTAATGTAGTGTAGTGTAGTGTAATTTAGTGTAGTCGAGTGTAGTGGAGTGTAGTGGAGTGTAGTTGTAGTTGTAGTTGTAGTGTAGTTGAGTGTAGTGTAGCGTAATGTAGTGAAGTGTAGTGGAAGGTAGTGTAGTGTAGTGTAATGTAGTGTAGTGTAGTGGAGTGTAGTGTAGTGCAATGTAGTGTAGTGTAGTGTAGTGTAATTTAGTGTAGTGGACTGTAGTGGAGTGTAGTGGAGTGTAGTTGTGCAGTTGTGCAGTTGTAGTTGTAGTGTAATGTAGTCAAGTGTATATAGTGTAGTGGAGTGTAGTGTAGTGTAATGTAGTGTAATGTAGTGTAGTGGAAGGTAGTGTAGTGTGGTGTAATGTAGTGTAGTGTAGTGTAATGTAGTGTAGTGTAATGCAGTGTAGTGTAGTGGAGTGTAGTGTAGTGTAGTGTGGTGTAATTGAGTGTAATTGAGTGTAATTGAGTGTAGTGTAGTGGAGTGTAGTGTAGTAGAATGTAGTGAAGGTGTAGTTGTAGTTGTAGTTGTGGTGTAGTGTAATGTATTGGAGTGTAGTGTAGTGTAGTGGTGGTTGTAGTTGAAAATGCTACAAAACCCTCACGTTTTGCTCACTTTTGACAAGGTCCACAATCCCTTGCGCCTGCCACGCGAAACGACATCTGAACCTCCAAAAGTGGCGCAAACATGTGGTGTTTTGCACATTTTGACTTCGAAATGTGCTTTGCGCCACAACGGCATGCACTTTTTCGACATCTCAACTTCCAAAAGTGGTCCGAAGCTGGTGTGTTTTGTACATTTTGACTTGGAAATGTGCTTCGCGCCACAACAGCGTGCACTCTTTGGACATCTCAACTTCCAAAAGTGGTCCGAGAATGGTGTGTTTTGTACATTTTGACTTGGAAATGTGCTTCGCGCCACAACTGCGTGCACTTTTTCGACATCTCAACTTCCAAAAGTGGTCCGAGAATGGTGTGTTTTGTACATTTTGACAACGGCGTGCACTTTTTCGACATCTCAACCTTCAAAAGTGGTCCGAACCCCTGGTGTTTTTAACATTTTGACTTCGAAATGTGCCGCGCCACAACGGCGTGCAACTTTTCATCTCTCATCTCCCCAGATGTCTCCGCACCCGCCGCTTTAGCGAGCCTACTTTTCAACCCTCCGGAGCCACAAAACCACGAAAAAACACAGTGTTTCGCGACTTTCCTACCTTTTCGCGCACCTGCATCTTCTTTCTTCTGATCTTTTCTCTTCTGACTCTTCTCCCTGCTGACTGCTTTTTCATTTCTCCATATTGTCGGAAGTTTGACTTCCAAACTTCCTTCGTTGATATGATATAATATAATAGAATATAATATAATATAATATATAAATATATATAATAAGTATATACATATTATATTGCATAATATATTACATAATATATTACATAATATATATACATACACATAATATATATATAATATTGCATGATATATATACTTTTATCTAATATATAGTGGGTGTATTTATATATATACACCCACTTTACAATATATACATATACATACATAATATGTAAATATACATATGTATATACATAGTATATATATATGTATACATATAATGTATGGATACATACATAATATCTATTCATTTTATATACCGCATACATGTAGATAATATATATATATATTTATCAACATAACATGTTTATATATATAAATAATATATGAATGTATATATTTTATATATACACATTATATATATTTATAACATTATATATACATACTGTGTATATATATATATACATACACAGAATACATAGTATATCTATACATAATATATTATATTTTATTATTTTTCTATTGTTTTATCTATTTTACAGTATATATATATTTATAACACATAGTTATACATATTTTTTGATCCCAGTTTGGATCCAGTTGGTGGGATGGTTTGTCCCGTTTGAATCCCAGTATTTACAGGTTGAATTATGTTACCCTCTGGTAAACTAACATAACTATTGAAAATCACAATTTTTAATGGGAAAACTCACTATTTCAATGGCCATTTTCAATAGCTATGTTAAATTACCAGAGGGTACCAATAGTTACCCTGCCTGGTGCAGGATTTCGCAGAGTATCATGGGAGACTTGCTGCAACCCGGTCCTGGGAATCTCTTTGTTTCACCGTTGCCAGCTTGCTCAGCTTGCCGGCCAAGGCGGGGATATTTTCAACCTCTAGTGGAAGGCATCAAGAACTGCTTTTCCCGAGCTGGAAGCTCAGGTAAACGTTTACATAGCCATGGAAAATCATGGTTTTTGTCGGGTCAACCAACTATAAATGGCAATTTTCTATGGCTATGTTGAATTACCAGAGGGTATATCTATTATCATCTAATTGGTATCATTTGTAATATATTATTATCAATTATCATCTATTATGACCAGCTATAGTCGATTATATCATCTATTATCAACTATCATCTAGTATACTCATCTATTATCATAAACCATAGTGCTATAGAATCGATAACATATTGTATAATCTATGATCATGAACTATATAATCTATCATATAATCTATTATGAATATCTATTGCTGTTTGGGTTGCAAATCTCTCAGCATTATTCTGCAGATGCCTGTGGAAATAATTGAGAAGAACTACCTGAACTTATAGAAATATTGTTGTAAAAGTAATGTATATTTCATACAATACATATAATATTGATATGCAATACATACAATTACAGACGTATATGATCATATGTATATGAAAATATAAATTATGTGAGCTATTTCTTGTTATGTTTTGTAGTCTACCAAAACAATTCGACTCACAGTTTTTCGCTTGTGACGCATCCCTTGATCATTGAGGTCTTCTGGCTGGCAACCTGTCCTCGCCTCGGAGCTGCGTTGAGTTTAATTTATGGTGGACCACTGATTTGCAACGAAACTGCTTCGAGAAAGCAGCTTTTCCGAGAAAGAACAACATCCGTTGGATGTCCATTTTCCAGGAACACTTTTTTCTCCGGGAAATGAGGGGGTAAGAACCACGTACACTGTTGCGACCATGCCTTGCGTATGTTGTTGTTGAATGTGCAAATGGCACGCTGATGCCATTTCGTTCAGTGGACTCAGAGATTCACTGGTTTCAGATTGTGGACGGTTTGAAATTCCGGAATGAAATTAGTAGCCTCTGGATCCCTCTGGTAATTTTGAACATAGCTACTTTTGATGGAAACTTACCATTAAAAGGATCGGTGAATCAAAATGGGCCCTGTAATCAGACGCGGCTGGACAATCCACCATTACTTCGATGGATTTTCCGATATTTTCGGGGAGTTGCCATATGGATGTGGGTCAAAATGGAAGACCTAGGGGACCACAGATGTTAGTCTAGTTTAGTATTAACCATCCATAATTTTGGGGTACCTAATTTTGACCCATACCCATATTTTTGCCATATTCTCGGGGATTTGCCATAGTATGAAAGCCATGATTTCGTAAGGAATCTACACGAATCTTTGGGATCTGAGAAAATGGGGATCCAACGAATCAAAGTGACATATCAACATCACAATGTGGGCCCCCCCGAGTTATAAGTTGGTTTATAAGCCCCAGTAACTAGTTCGTTATAAGTACCATAAACCATAGTTGTTGCAGTTATAAATCCAACTTAGCTATCTTGGGGGCCTCACATTGTAAGTATCATAAAGCATAGTTATTCGAGTTATGTTCGCCCACTTAGCGATCATAAATCAGCTATATATATATAAAGGCCATATGAAATCCCTATTTTCCAATGGTTTTTGGAACGATTTTGTCATCGGGCTGTCTACCTTTTCACTCAAAAGGTGGCCGCTGTGGTCCTTGTGCGGCTCTGCTGTCATGCTGCCGCTGCTGTCGCGGTATCCTGGCTGGGGAATCCGGGAACCAAATGGAGGTAAGCTTATGAGTTGCAGAATCCATACCCT